CCCGTCCTTTCCTCTGGGATTTCGTTTATTATTTTATATTTTATTACAGAGGTCCAAAATATGTTGCGTTTATTTGAATTGTGTGGAGTGACGCTATTTCTTACCACCATCACGTCGTTAATATTATTTGCACTTTGTCAATAGATGGCGCTAAAAATAGTGTTATAATAAATAACCCAGGACAATTAACACAGCTCCATCTAGTCCCACTGTAAGCAGTGCTTGTGATATGGGTACTAGATAACTGATATAAATACTTTTATATATATTTATAAATACATGGAAACCAGACCGATACAAATAATCATATTCATGAATACAAAATTTTCAGCGTGAGAGAAATCGAACCCGCGACCATCGGAAGTAAAGCTGCTAAGTGTGCTAGACCGCTAGACCACCGAGGCTGTCAAATACTTCATTAATACTTAATTTAGATAAATCAGGACGGTTAACCAAAACAACAGGGGGGAAGGTTGATTGTTAGTAATGTGGATTGATAACCCCATTGCTAGCAATGTACCATGTCAGGTCGACCTCCACGCGGTTCCACCTGGAAACCATGGTGTTAAATTCCTGGTGAATTTGTCACGATGGGCTAACTTACCTGACCTCATGCTCATCTTATCATCTTCCACTGGTGCACCGCCAGCGTAAACCGTTAGCGCAGGTGCACCATTCCATTATCATCCACAAAAAAAAACCAAAACAACAGAGTTGTATGTTAGTTTAATTTAGGACGTAGCAGGTACAGAATTTAATAAATGTCATATAGTACCTCTCGTCTTTCCACACCGTAATACTACCTGTTCATTTATTTACACAGTCCACCGCTCCAGGTATATGAACACGTGTGAAGAAATGAGACAGATAATCAAAGGTCAGCTTTCTCACTCCCACGCTCATTAGTCGCAGTGTTTCATTTAAAAGGAAATTAGGTCGGCTTACTAACTGTTTTTCACTATGATTATAGATTATACATATGTATAAAGGTACCCAAATATTCGTTATATATTACACTAGCTGTTCCCGCGACTTCGTTCGCGTGGAGTTTAACTTTATTTTTCTAAAACAAGTAGCCTAAGTAACCCCTTATTACATCAGTTACCTGCCAAAAAAGTCCCGTCAAAATCTGTCCAGCCGTTTCAGATTAGCCGGAACAAACAGACAGACAAAAATTGTAAAAAAAAATATTTAGGTATATTTACCGTGTTTATATTCACATGAATGTACAAAACGGTTATTTCAATATTACAAACAGATACTCTAATTTTATTTATATATATAGATTAGGTCCTTACATATGAAATTGGCGTTTTGTCGTACTGGCCACTTTGATCTCAAATATCTACTCTTTGGTTAGGAATTCCAATTTCAGATTTATACAGCTATTTACTCATATATTTGTTTTTCCAAAACCGTAATCCCTATGTTTTTTTTTGCGCCATCTTTGGTTTTTCTTTGCGTCACTCAGTTTACAAAATTAAAGAGAGGATTTCCGCCGTGGCACCAGTGCTGCAGAAACGGATGGAAGGATTAATGTATATGACGATGGTGTCGCAAAAGAAAAAACATATTATTTTTTAATCCAACGTTTTCGTTCTGGAAATTTCGACCTGCAAAGCAACCTTGGGGCCTCCGGAGTCTAAAGTCCCCACAATAGCCTTCTTCTCAAAATTCCTCAATTGTTCATTATCAACCTTGGACTCTGGCCGCAAGTTGCGTATAATATATTTATACGCAATTTGTTTGAAAAACAATTATCTTGTTTTATTTACTTCCTTTCTTACCATATCATCTTTCACACAGTCCATCCATCTCTTTTTCGGCCTTCCTCTGCTCTTATAATCATCTACATTCATATGTAACACCTTTCTTAAAATATTATCCTCATTCCTACGCATTACATGTCCATACCATGACGATTACTCTGCAACCTCTCCGACACCGGCGCCACTTCCACCACAAAACACTCATGCCGTGACATTCCAGAGAACTAAGATGTCATAACACTTATCCTGTAATTTCAATTCCTAATTGCAACCTTAAAACATGCTGTACTGCGTTTGTTTAATTACAAACCTTAATTCAAACAACTATAGGTAGTATTTGCTTCAGAATTGTTACTATCCGTATACTCAAAGTATGGAAGTCCTCATCAGTGTAAGGCAGTGAACCTTAAACAATCCTAGAGTAGGGATTACACATGATACCAAAAATAACTGCCAGTGCTCCTAATTACATGCTACGCTCGCGAGGAGCCTTTGTATGTAATTTCTAATTGAAATAGTTCATAGTAGCCTATATACTATATTAATATTCTAATACTAGTTACCCGACTGCAGATAATAAAGTGGTATTGTATGGTCATGTTTTTAGAATAAACAATCTTATATGCAAATCTACTATTATAGAAATAGAAATAATTATTATCCAGATATGTGATGGCGTGGTGGGCCGAGTCATTGGGGTCCCTAAAATATGGTCGAGCGCAGTGATGGTTGGCTCACCCGTCATACTCGTGAACGAGAGCTTGTAGGGACTGGTCAGCTCTAATTACTACGACTGATTTAATCTTATCGTGTATTTAATATTTAGACTCTTATAAATTAGTGCTAGTTGGTAGTTTGTATTCACATATTTCAACTTAAAAATGTAAAGTTACAACAATTATTTATAATAGCAACACGCAAGTTTCTTGCTCGTTCTTCTTGTGATGAGACAGCATTCCGAATGGACAGTAGATTAGAAAAAAACTATGATTATTCTAATTATTTAATTAATGTAATATATTATGATATATATATGTAATATATTATAATATATTATACTAGCTGTCCCGCCAAACGTTGTTTTGCCATATAAATTAATAACGTTATAAAAAAATAGGGGTTGATGATAGAAGGGTGAAAATTTAGGATTGTATGTATTTTTGTATGTTGTATCATAAAAAAATAGAAACTAAAAATTTTGTCTAAAAAATAAAAAAAAATTTAGGGTTGGACTACCCCTAACATTTAGAGGGATGAAAAATAGATGTTGGCCGATTCTCAGACCTACTCAATACGCTCACAAAATTTCATGAGAATCGGTCAAGCCGTTTCGGAGGAGTATGGGAACGAAAACTGTGAGAATTTTATATATAAGATAATATAATTAAATGTAATATATGCTGTCTATAGTTATATTATTTTGATTCTACCTGTCGAAAAGAGTATTGTTTTACGTAAATGTTGTTCTAAATAAATATACATTATCAAGGAATAATAACCCATGACATAATCGATATAAAAACCGCTACGCAATCGATCGCAATCGAATCTTTGTGTAATCAGATAATATTATATAAAACCGCTGAAAGATCTAATGATGTTAGTAGTAAAGATAGCTAATAAATGATTCATTACGAGAACTGACATAGTTTAACTTTAATCTCAAAGAATATACTGATGGTAACTGTAAAATAGGAGATTAAAGTATGCAGACAAAGTATTAATAAGTTTGTATTTATTTATTACCAATTTGAAGACTTGATGCCTGAATAACTCTTGTTGAAATTATATATGTACATACATTTTATTATAAGGACGAACATAGCATATGCTTTGTAAAAAAATGATGATGAATGTGTCCTATTTAAAAAAAAAAGCAGATAAAACAGACAGTACAATAGCTGTTTCATTGTTGTTCAACATAATATTAAATTTTTATGTCCCGCTAGATCTCATGAATTGATACGTGCCGCGACAAAGATTCCTTGTTTATAATGTCATGAATTTTTCTTTTGAACTTTATGTGGGTGCTCTGGACTTATTCTCAAAACATATTAATGTATCAACGCGTAGCATGTAAGCGTAGAGAATATATTAAGAATTTTAATTGAACCATTGGTATGTAGTCAAGTATTGTGTATGATATATAAGAATACTAGTTACTTACCCCGGCTTCGCATAAGTGTACATGTATTATATATATAAACCTTCCTCTTGAATCATTCTATCTACTTAAAAAACCGCTTCAAAATCTGTTGCGTAGTTTTAAAGATTTAATCATACATAGGGACGGACAGACGGCGACAGCCATTTTGTTTTATACTGTGTAATGTTATATAACTTGACTACAGTTACGACCTTCTCTAATGTTTCGAGCGCCAAACAGTCAACACTAGGCTTTCAAGCTGTATGCGAACTCTATTCAATTCCCAATGATGCAACGTTCAAAGGCGAAACATAGCGACAGCTACTTTGTTTTATACTATGTAACGAAAATGAAATATTGATGTAACCTAATTAAGTATACATACATATTATGTGTTACCATATTTATTTAGATTTATAATATATTTTTTAAAGTTTATTAGTAATAAACTCTACTTACATGTATCTTTGTTTGCTGTATAATTGACTATGAGAAAATATGTACTTTTCCACGCACCATTATTAAATAACAATTATTAACACATAGTAAAAGTCGCTGTCGCTGTTTGCCCGTCCCTATGTATGCTTAAATCTTTAAAACTACGCAACGGATTTTGAAGCGGTTTTTTTAATAGATAGAGTGATGCAAGAGGAAAGTTTATATGTATATAAAACACATAAATGCATGTACACCCGGGCGAAGCCGGAGCGAATAGCTAGTAATAAATAAATAGAAAATATACACATTTCCACGCACCCTTATTCAATAAAAATAAATAAATAACCCTGGACATTAACACAGCGCCATCTAGTCCCACGGTAAGCAGAGCTTGTTTTAAGGGTACTACACAACTGATATAAATACTTAATTTTTTTTGTAAATACATACATAGTATATATAGATAATACCCAGACCAATACAAATAATCATACTCATTAATACAAATGTTTGTACCGTGCGAGGAATCGAACCCGCGATCATTGGAAGTAAAGCAGTGTGCTAAACCGCCGGACCACCGAGGCCGTTTATTGGTATATTTGTACATTAAAGTTTTAATAATTAATTCCTTTGTTACAGAACACCAATGCGTTCGAGTACTGTTCAGGAATGCGACAAGGCGAGGCAATGACCACCACCATTACAAAATGGCTCATAAACAGTGGAAGACATGGATGAGAATCGCTCTCCTACCGATCGTCATACTAACCACGACCATCGCAGACTTCACCACAGAATGCCAAAGACCGTGCGACTGTCGATGGCAGTCGGGCAATAAAGCTGCAATTTGCTCAAACTCCAGCCTTAAAGTAATCCCGGCTAACTTAAGCAGCGACATCCAAATACTAGATCTGTCAAACAATAATTTACAACAATTGCATCAAGAAGGATTTAAAAAAGTAGGCCTAAGTAATCTCAAAAAGTTGTTTCTAAAAGAGTGTAACTTAGAAGTTGTTCATAGATCGGCATTCGCAACATTAGCTATAATGATAGAACTCGATTTGTCCAAGAATAGGATACAATATCTCCACCCAGACACGTTCAAAGGCACAGAGAAACTAAGATTAATAAACTTAAGCAACAACTTCATCGATAAGTTGGAAGACGGTATATTTCGCAACTTGAAGTTCCTTCAGAAAGTAGAGGTTAGTAATAACAGGATTTTGCGGATTGGCACTAAAGCATTTGTAAACTTGCCTCAGTTAAAGATACTGAGATTTGACGGTAACAAATTAAGTCACATGAAGCCCGAAACTTTGATGGCGTTGAGAAATTTGTCAGGATTAGATTTGCACAATAATCCGTGGCGATGCGACTGCAACCTGCAGCCATTTAGAGATTGGGTGATCAGTCACAACTTATATACCCCACCTACTGCCTGTGCGGAGCCGTCATCCGTGCGAGAGAAACTTTGGAATGAATTAGATTCATCGAACTTCGCTTGTCGGCCTACTATATTGGAACCGCTGCCGGATTCAACAATCAGAAGTTACGATGTAAACGTAACTTTGACTTGTAAAGTTGTAGGTAATCCTACTCCCGAAGTGGTTTGGCGGTTCAATGGAAAAACTATAGACATGAGATCATTTGGCGAGATAAGATACATTGTTTCCGAGAATACTATGGATTTGATACGATGGGTTAATTTGACGATTGTTAATGCTAGATACAATGATAGAGGAAATTACACGTGTGTTTCTGAAAATCCTGGTGGTCGGGATGAGAAAACTGTCATGCTCATATTGTCTAAGTATGGAGGGGTTGGTTCCATAATTGGATTAGATGCAGACTCCTTTGCAATATTAGTTGGTTGTTTGTTAGCGATTATTATAATTTGTGCCGCTGCGGTAGCAATCTGTTACTTTACTACTCAGAATAATGAAATTAAAAGACTGATTAAAACTGATACACGTTCTTCTAATGGTGAGGCCTTAATAGAGGGCTCTGTAGCTTCCGAAGGAGATAAAACTTTAATAAAGTCGGAAGTAAACCCTGTAACAAAGCCTCCGAGAAAATACGAGGCACCGCCGTCCCTTACTAGTGAAGCTACGGAAATGTCCGAGTTGAACAAGACTCTCTTGGACAATGACTCTGTTAACGGTGAGTTTATTTTTACTGTACTTTACGAGTCTCTCCTAAATTAACTAGATTCTATTAATTTGTGACAATTTTACTAGGAGTATAAATTATACGTTGATAATACTAATATGTAAAACTTTAAGAAGCCTTTGAGAATTATTGATGGAATAATATCAAAGGGAATTTAAAATTAAATCTAGGAATTCCTTGAAATTTCGTTGTTAAAATTTGGGGTTTGCTTTGATCGGCAATTTCTTAAGAAAACTTAGAAACTGGCGGTTTGTAAATTGCGAAGTATTTTCTGATGCAAACTTTTCTTATAAAACTGATTTATGTTTATATAAAAACAAGAACAATATGAAATTTATTGCAGTGACTTCATGTTAGAACATTAGGTTGGTTTCAACCGGGGAAATAATTTAATGTAATTTATTACAAGAAACTACTCTGGATGAAACATTCTTATTGTTGCGTGCTGGGCCTTTTGTGACATAAAATTTAATAGGTTCTTTACTGTACAAGCTTTTAAAGCGAATAAAATAGTAATGTTGACACAATTGTATTGAAGTTTCAAATAGCATCATCTATAAGAACCCACATATATTTAAAGTTCTTTTATAAAATATAAATTGAGATAATTAGGCTTTTAACCTTAACACTCTAACTTAGCACCATCTTTATAGAACTTGTAAGAGATCTGGCGTTAATACATTAATATAATGTAACACTATTTTAAAGTAGAAAGTGTGATTGGTAGTGAATATATTAAAAATAAAGCTTAACCTATTTTAAAATTTTATTGACCTATATACGAATAACATGGGTAGTAGTGTATAATAAAAAAAAACTAAATATAGTTCCTTATATTAATAGTAAAGCCGGGGCAGATCGTTAGTAACTAATATATTCATAAGAAAATATATAATTCATATATCACTTATAACAATTTCACTTTAGAACCAGTTGTTTAAGTAAAAATTGTGATTTTGGATAAACTCTAAAAGAATATAGGATTTTCAAATTCCATTTTTGTTTACAGCATCCAACGAAGATAACAGTCGTCACCAAGAAGTAGAGCTCTCTAAAGCATCTAATGAAGCTTTACTTATGAACCGTTTGATTCAAGATCACCAAGCATACCCACCAGACCTTCTTTCGTTTCCTTTAAGAGGAGGAACTCAAATCTCACCAGCCAGCGGCACGTCATCTGGACAAGAGAGACTAAATCAAACTAATTCTGATAGTCCAATTAAATCCCCAGTGTACGGAGTTACAACAATCAATCCAACTTTATATAGCAGATTACAAAATTCAAACCTACAAAGTTCTGCACCACTCATGAGCCCCAAAAGTGGATACGTCACTTTACCCAGAAGACCAAGGCATAGCCAAGACAATATACGTCCTCAAATATTTTCAACGCTTAATGGGGTTATCCCCTATTACGACAACTTCAATATGAAGCTATTTGGCCATGGTGGTAATTATTATAGTCTTAATAAAAGCGAAATGGACTTAGGTCCAATTAGTAAAATGAGTTCTAGTTTACATGACTCGGAAGAGATTGAACCTGCCCCATCACCTGCACCTGGAACACCGCATGCAACGATACCAAGAAACAGTCTTAGTTCCCCAAACATCCATAATCAGTTGCTAACTTTGCAAGCTATGTCCATAAATGCATCTCAGGGGAGAATCATGAAAGCGTCGGAGCAACGGCCTCTTAAAGTCATGCTATCCGAAAATGAAGGAGCCATTAAAAATCCCATTCGAGACTTGTGGATGGGTTACAGTGTAAATGTAGTTAGTGGTACAATAGGTAGGACAAAAACTGGTCCCAAACCTCCACCGAAACCAAGAAAGAGAAACTCTTGTGAAGTGAAGGAACCATTCCTTTTGAACTCTGCTGATAATGCTACCCAAGTGTAAATTAGTATAAAAGTATTTATAACTATAATTTATAGTTGTGTTGGATTTTAAAGTATAAAGTTATCTTTATTTTGATAGAAGATATGCAAAGACGACAAATTTTTGTCTATTTCATGATTTGGAAAAGATTGAAAGATATTTTCGAATAGATTTTAACATTTTATAGTAGAAAGTATGCCATGTTTTTAGTTTTAGAATATCTGATATCTAGTTTGTTTTCTAGTTCAGATCTTAATATACTTGTAATACATATTAAATGATATGGTTTAAATAATTGAGATATAATCAAGGCATTATCTTCTATCAAGATTAGTAAATTATTTATTTAATTCTATATGTTATCGCCTTATATTAAAGAATGGTTTTATCAATTGTTAATAATATATATATTTTATACATAAGTTCAATTTTTATGGCCTGTATTCCATAAATTTATATAGATATTAAGTAATTTGTACAGTAGATATATTAAACATGGCATTGACAGAACATTTTATAATATTATTCTATATTGGTGCTTATGATAATATTAAATGCATTGTAATATGTCCCTTCTTAGTTACAAATACTTTATTAAGAGGTTTGTGAATAGAAACAAAATTATCGAAATTGAATCTACATATACAAAAACGGGTTACTTCTTTTATAGTTCTACAGGCTTTCTCTCTTCGTTGTCTTCTTCCCTTATTTTTCTCCGCCACTTTATCATGTCCTAGATATCGTCTTCAGAGACATCACACTGTATGTATCACACGTTACATAGGTTCATGGACTACGTAACTATATTCCTTTAGACCAACCAATAATAAAATATTCTTTCCAAAGTCAGTGATGGATCCTATAATCATCATCATGGCCTTACTTTCAGTCCTATAATTTTATTTTATTTTCTAATTCTCAATTATTTCGAATTTCAACAGATTGCTTTTAAAAGTTTTGCAATTATGAAGGACCCTGTTACTTACTGTATAACTGGGGTTGTAACTGTACCTTGTAAATTATCCATGTTCTTATATGAAACACCTTCCATTTTAATCTGTTTAACATAATAATAAACTACTAATGCATCAATTGCCCTACTTATTTACCCCTAACCTCCAATGTTGAGAAAGAAGTTACAAATTAATCATTTCAAATAACAATCTTATATAATTGTTACCTTAGTGTACATGCTTCAATACTTTTGTCTCTATTATAAAGTTCTTAAATCCATAATAATGAAAAGGACAACACTAAATTGTCTTTATCTGCATCAATATTTAAACATTTTCTGTACGTTTAAACTTATGTACTAATAAATTAAGAATAAGGTTGAATTTAAATTGTTACTGTATAGTAAAACTACCAATGTGATACAACAATATATTGCTCGATACAGCATAATATCGTTGCAATGAACACTTGTATGCATTTAAATTAAAATTGTAAATAAATTAAAAAATGTAAATATAATTGGTTTTCTGCATTCCAATAGATGTAACACTGAAGTAGATTAATAATTTGAAATCGGAATTATGTAGTGTAACATTAAATTGAAGCTTACTGTGCATTATACTTCAGTATGTAAAATGACTGAACTTCTATAAAAACAAACTTATCCTGTCATACTTTTTCAATGTACAGCTTAAACCCCTGATATAAATGCTAAAAAAACTTATAAATTTAGCATAAATAGTATTTTCGCTAATTCGAAACTCGGAAGAAAGGATTTTATGAAAATCACACAAAAACGTGAGGTCTACTTTTAAAAAGAATATAGAATTTTCTACCCATTGTAATGTGTTTATTATAATTTCCAAATTCTGTAATTACTATACACCTATTAATTTATTTATTACTGAAAATGTATATACAGTAAATTATTTTTATTTTTTAAATACTCCTGTAAACACAAGTAAGATTTGTTTATTAGCATTTATGCAGTTTTTTTTAATGTATTGCGAGTAAAATTTACAATATCACTTGGCAATTTATTATAGTTTTTAATCACCATAGCACGACAGCTTAAGCTGCATAATGACATGTTATTGGACAGTAACATTAAGTTGTCTAAATATCTTTTACTATATTTACTAGAAATATCTTTTCTACGTTTGAACAGTTCAGGATGCAGTCTAAAAATTGGCATATTTCATATAAGGTAACTTCAATATGTTATGTCTTTGAAACTATGGTTTATAACTTGTTCACATTACGTGTTATTCCACTTGTTTTGGTTGCATATGGTATAGCTACGGTAATTTCGCTTAGCCGTATTTCCTGGCAAGTTCAGGGTCTAAAAGAAATGCTAGTATTTCTACAAAAGAGCTATTTCCCAATTTAAAAGCTACGAACAGCCGCTACCAGTTTGCATATAAAAAGAAAAGTTGACTGACCTACTGTCCAATCAACGTAACCAAAACTGCTAGGATGGGACACAATTTCCTTCGGACACAATTTCTTTCCTTTCCACCGGGCTTCCTTATAACGCAATACCCTCGGGAACGGTGGATAATTGAAGATATCTCAAATATATATAATTCCGATTTCAGACTAACAATTGACCGCTTTAACGAATAAAAATTCTAAAATCATATTGTTCGGAATGTAAAAATGTATATAGTAGATAATTAATTGACTTAAAACGAAGAGTAAATAATGTATTTACTGTGGTCATGTTTGGTGAAAGCGACGTGTGGACCAATAGTGAGACAGTGCGAATGGAATGGAAGTAATAAATAAATACAATTTGAGATTTTACATGCTGTTTTATTTATTGTTAATCCTTGCTAACATTATAAATGCGAAAAGAGCCAGAATAGCTAGAAAATGCCAAAACAAGAGCGTATGGGAATAGTCGTTCATGCAAGAGATTTACATTTAGCTTTACATAGACACCCACATATGTAAGTACACAATGAAAATAAACTAGCTTTAAAAGAAAAAGAAATTCAGTTGTCTTTCTTGCCATATCTTTTCAACCGAATCTGTATACTAAACGGCTAAAAATAATGTCCTACGTGAATGAATGACATTATTTTTGAATTGAATTGATTGGAATCAATAAGTATATCAGTATCTTTTTGTATCTCTCTATGTCCTTACTAATATTAAAGTTCGTTGTATCCTGAGTTAATTTAAAAGTATTTACTGTACAATATAGTGTTACAAATAAACAAAACAAACAAATATTACCCTAACAGGGTCCATAATGATCGAAAACGAATTATAAACATCTTTTATTGTAATATTATGGAATGCAATAAATATAGAGTATATTATAAATGTAACTCTGTCTATCTATCTATTGCTCTTTCTCACCAAAACTACTGAACGGATTTAAATGAAATTTAGTGCACATGTAGTCTAGACCCTAAGAAAACTACTTTTTACTGTAAAAAAAGGGATGTAAGGGCATACATTACATACTACATTACTTCTATACATACATTTCCTCTTTGAAAGAGGAGTAACTTTTAAAGCTTGAAACTTATCTTTTAGACTTATTGAATATGACATTCAAAGTTAGTAAAAATGTTACCCTTAAGGGGGTAAAATAAAATAGGGAATGAAAATTTCTGTGGAAATTCATCAATCGTCATCTATGCTACGCGGACACAGCTAGTCTATAATAAAATAAATATATCATCATAATTATTTTAGCAGAAAGGGTAGACAGAGGCATTATCAGCTATCGAAGTCGTAGTGAACGCAATACTTGATATGCCTACATTTAGATGGGCATATTTGAATCCAATATGACTGGGGGTGAGCCTACCGTCGTATTTGAATTAATGTTTGGTATTAAACTTGTTGGTTTTTTTAATTATTGCCTCTTAGACACGCCACTCTTGTCACTGGCCGTTCACAGCTCAATGCGCGCATGACGCCAGCAGTGTGCGCTAGAGATGACATCGTGCTTCCTTCTCTTTCTCACATATTCTACAGCATTGATGTTTTCGACACCGGAAAATCAGTCAGAAAAATAAATTGATTCTTTTTGGTGACTACGCCTTGACTTAAGACAAACTGTAGTCTAGTAGTAGATGTGAGTCTATGTAGGAATCCAATGGATTAATCCTTTCACACCATCAATTGTCTGAAAAGATCCATAATTTAATATTTCAGCTTCTACTTTGACATCTGATCCATTTATTACCGAAGTTACTAATAATTTGGAATGATGCTACCTACCATTAAATATTTATGCTTCTCGCTCCAACCGTAATTGCTTTACAAATACATTTTATCTCGTACTAAATATTAAAATGGAACATTTTTTTTTTAATTTTCGTTTCAAATTAACAAAGAACAAACAATGATGTTCTGCTATTCATTATTACAATAATAATATTTCAGAACAATTCACATAGCGCCATCTAGTCCCGAGCTAAACAGAGCTTTTGTAACAAAAGCTCTGCTTAGCTTTAGCTTTAACTCTAGACCTAACATAATATATACGTATAAGAAATTTGAGTCTGCCAAATCAAAAAAATATGACTATTGGAAAGTGACTATATTCAGTCAATTAGAATAAAGATTATTTCTATTTCTTTTCATATATGTTACAATATCTAATTTACTATTTTTATTAATAAATATGGAGTAGCGCTACTGCTTGCGTTAAGTGTACCAAAACGCTGGAGAGCCTGTGAGGGTACTTGCGGAGAATCATAGGATGAGCATAAAGTCAGGTCAGACAGCCCAATTATAATACGTATCAGCTTTGCTTTTTGCTTTAAATCATGAAGAAAACATTAATTTAGATAAGAGCAATATCGAAAAAGAAAATGTACAATGGCGACCTTTTAGCTAACAAAAATCACACGTTTAATCAAAGATGTTGGGAAAGCTTTTAAAATGTGGCATAACGTAATCAAGGAAGTTATAAATCAACTGATGCATAAAAAGGTGTGATTATCTTAACGACGTAGGACACTTTGTGGGGGGGAGATGAATGGCATAAAATTTGGGTCATTGCTAATTTGCTTTGGGCGTCTCGGGCCTTTCAAAAACGGGATTGAATTAGTGGTAGGTTTTTGTCCGTGAGTATTCACGAATTAACACATTATTTGGGTGTTTGTTTAGAAGTAATTATATTATAATGTGTTTTTGTTTGGCATTAAAAAGGGTCTGTTTTTCGGAGGGTTGTGCTTATTATTTAGGTTATTTATATTCATTGTTGTCCAAGACGGGGTAGTCAGATGTTATCCAAGATGGGGTACCGACTACACTGTAATGTGTCGACTGCAAAGCTTATTACTCACTAAACGATTACTTTAATGACAAGTCGGT